GCCTTCCTTCCCGATGAAGAGGTCAAGCATGTAAGTACTTTTAGTTTTTTGAAATGTTCTCTGATTGAAGCAGTCAAGTGAATTTTATTAAGAGAAAGAGGTAGTGTCAAATGGAACATAAATGTTAGGCATCACTCTTCATTTCCACTCCTCTTTCTACTCTTGGGCTTCCTGGCAATATCACCAAGGTAAACTGTGACCAATCAAAGTCCCCAGATTCAGAATATTTCATACACTGGTTCAGTCAACATGAACAAAGCATTGGACCGAGGCATCAAGGTACAGTGAACATAAAAGAAAAGATCTGTGATCAGTGTTCCTTGACCCTCGGTTCAATGCTTTGTTGGTAGTCAATGAACCTGATTATGGAAAGATGTGAATCGACCCCCACTCATCCAAGAGTATACCACAGGGATTCCAGAGATCACAAGAGAAATCTACTTAAACCTTTTCCTTTACCTTGTTACACTCCTCTTGTAATTCGTATGTGTAATTTTGCAGACATCCAGATTACTGTTGTAATTTATATGTGTAATTTTCCAGCCATCCAGATCACTTCGTGTGCCATTAAGAGGTTCAACAGGGTCCAGTCTTGCAGGTTCACCAGCGAGTTCTTTGGAAAGACATTCACCAAAAGAGGTAACTTCAATCTTGCAAGACTTTCAACATCACATGTTCCAAACAGCTAATTAATTTTTCTCCTTGTCTTAATTATTGTGTTTATTACCTCATGTGGTATATTTGGATCATTGTTTTTTATTTGTGTTTGTTATATTTCATGTCAAGTTAAACTGTAGTTTTTGTTGTATTAGGTTGATGTTTTTCTAAGAACTGTCGCAGATGGGGATATTGAGATGGTAATTATAACCTGATAATTTAATTGTCAATAGTGGATGATCAGGAAGCAAAGTATTTGCCCGTAAAATTCATCAATAACAAAAAAATATATGTTTTTCAATTAGGTTCGTTTTAGGCTCAGTCTTGATGAAGAGGACGAGGAAGATGCTGGTGACGTACAATGCATATCAGAAATGGATTTATGTCATCCACTGTGTCAGTGTGACAAATGCATCAAATGGCAAAAGGTAAATCCATCATTTAAATAATCATTGCTTATTAAATATATATTAATTTATTATTGATTTAGATGTGATCATACGGTATTCAGTGATTCTTTTTGTGTACCAAAGGGCAGTGTCGGCGTTGCTCCCTTGATGGAGAGAGTTGAAATTGGGTGCAGACAATATTTCACGTTTTTTTTTGTGTTTTTTTTTTTAATTTACCCTACTAGACTAATAATATAACAGTAAGTTTTTTTGTCTATAGTTGACCAGTCGATCACTAGAGGATAATATCCATGTAAACTGTAGCAACAAGGATGGTATCACGCCTTTACATGTAGCAGCAGTTAGAGGATACACTGCCAT